TGACTCCTAAGAGCCCAATCTCGAGGCCAAAGACTTAGTGGCCACCTTAGAAAAGCGAACAGTATCGTTTCTGTCTCAGCCCAGATCAGGGTGATTGATCCGTTTAGCCAAATGAAACGAGGAATATAATACGTTATTGGACGCTGCAGACTCTGCGAATCGTAATAACTTTGTCCCATCTCAGACCTTTACATGATGCTCTCCGGGAAACGTTTCTCAAGGTGACCAATATTTAAACCTAAACTGCTAACCGGCACCGAAACCAGCTTCAGGCGTGCGCTGATTTCAAATAACTGTCACTTGTGTTAAAGAAATTGTGGGTAGGGAAAAAAAAATCGGGAGGGGGGTATGGCGTTCCGTTGCGGACAAAATTATACCGATAGTAAAAACATAATACTAAAGTCGAAACTTGTAAAGTACATCGAATGCAATAAAAAACATGAGTCGAGATTTGCAAAATATATGTTCACGAACGAAAAACAAATTTTGAAATTTGAGTCGAAAAAAATATGCGAGTCGATTTGAAAAAAAAAACTCGAGTCGAGAAAGAGAGAACGCTGACCAGTTGTGATATCAATCGATGTCTTCACTTCACCGAGACGAGGTTTCGATCCAAAGTAGTGGTTTCTTGGCTACCAAATATTGCAGGGTTTTTCTTCTCCCTTGCTAGACTTATCGAGGATTTGGAAAGGCAGCTTAGTTCAGCTTCATATGACAGTTCAGAATTCTTATTTCGGCGCCTTGACGAGTACAAAAGTTTAGAGAGGTTTAATAAATCACAACTGGCAGAGATACAGATAACAAAGCCAAAACATAACATGTCACGCAAGGACCCACAAGCATTAAAAGAATTACAGCAAAATACTGGCGCGCGGCATCGACATCAAGCGGACAAGGGAATCACTACAGTAGACACGAACAAAACTGATAAAATAAGAGAAGGTCAAATACAACTCGACGACGAACATAACTACAAACCTCTCGTTGAACCAATGTTGAAAGAAACGCAAAGCAAGGTCAAGCGCCTAATTAATTACGGAAAACATAATGATGAAATGACGAGATAATGGCAAATCCCAAACACCCAATCCACCTAGAATATTAGAGTTATACACTATTTCAAAAATTTACAAACCAACTATAACTTACGACCAATAATCTTCGGGTGTGATTGTCCAACAGAAAGGGGGTAATTAACAGGCCTCACATCTATACCGGAGTGGGACCGTGTGTTAACAAAAGAGGAAATTCTCCTTGATTCCTTTGTGCGCTAGTTAACGAAAAACAGTTCTAGTAAGCGGGGGTCCGAGTTATTGCTTCAGTATAAACTGTCTGACAGCGCAGTTTTTTACCAATTTCATCAGAAACGGTAACATGATTATACCTTTTTATGAAAAAAGGTGATCTGTTCGTTGCAACAATTAATATTAAATTGCTGTAGTGTTGGTTTTAGTGTTTTTTACCGATTCTACAACAAGAGGAACTAATGAAATGACATCCGAGTGGAATTACAAGAACCAGAATTCGAGTTATCGGCGGGGGTAAATTTCAGGGTAATTTTGATGAAGGGAAAGGAAATTTAATTGGAGTTATTGGAATTAGCCGAGTAAAAATGACTGAAAAGCGGGAAATGGGACTTAATTCGAGTTTAGCGGGGAGTTCGAGTTAAAAACATGTCAGGTTCATGTCTACTGTAGTGATTCCCTTGACCGCTTGATGATGTCGATGCCGCGCGCCAGTGTTTTGCTGTAATTCTTTTAATGCTTGTCGGTCCTTGCGTGACAGGTTGTGTTTTGGCTTTTTATTTGTGTCTCTGCCAGTTGTGATTTAACCTCTCTCGAGGGCTTCTAATGGTTGAACCGGTGGGTTCCAGTCCGATTTAACGTAGAAAGGGTGAACTTCCCTATTTCTAAACAACCGTAAGTCTCACAATATCTTGACGACAGAGTTGCAAGTGTCCTTTTGTACTCGTCAAAGTGCCGAAATAAGAATTCTCAACTGTCATATGAAGCTGAACTAAGCTGCCTCGCTAAGTCCTCGATAAGTCTAGCAAGGGAGAAGAAAAAATCTGCAATATTTGGTAGCCAACAAATCGACTCAAATTTCAAAATTTCGACTCGTGTTTGAAGTCATGACATTTGCTTAGTATTTTTTTTTTGTTCCTGAACATATATATCAGTGCAAATTCGACTCATATTTTTTATTGCATTCGGTGTATTTTACAAGTTTGAGTTACGTATTATGTTTTCAACATGTTTTTACCATCGGTATAATTTTGTCCGCAACGGAACGCCATAGGGGGGGGGGGG